CTGCTGCAGAGAGGCACTTGATTCAGGTCAATGAACTGGATGAAATCAGATATCTAGCCTATGAAAACTCCAAGTTATACAAGGAGAGGACAAAGGCATATCATGATAAGAAGATCATCTTTAGACACTTTGAGCCCAATGACCAGATACTCCTTTACAACTCTCGTTTACAGCTTTTTCCGGGTAAACTGCGTTATCGTTGGTCAGGTCCCTTCACTGTCAAAGAGGCTAGACCACATGGCGCCATTGTCCTGATCAACTCCAAAGGAGAGGAGTTCACTGTCAATGGACAAAGGGTGAAATGCTATTGGGCGCAAACCGAGATTCCAGCAGGACACATTGTGCCTCTGGATGATGCACCAGCTGTCTGAACATCATTCAAAGTCGAGCTAATGACTTTAAACAAGCACTTAGTGGGAGGCAGCCCACCTGTAAGTTATCTAGCTATAATACTCTAGTTTGTTTTGTTTCCTAACATAAAAAAGTCAAAAAAAGAGAAGAAGAGCGGAGTTATTTAAGTAGAGTGGATCTCCACACTGGGTGACGATCATCACCAGTAGTGGGTCACGCTCGTCACCCCATCCCTTCGCGAGGTACCACTTTCATCTTTGCTCATTGCGTTCTGTTTCTTCTATTTTGACCAACTCTTGGCTTAATTTCATTGGGGACAATGTTGTTTAAGTCTGGGGGAGGTGGTTACTGACGTTGTCTATATTGTGTTTGATTTTTAGAGTCTTAAAATTTAGTCAAAAACCTGTTTTATAGAGTCAAAATTTTGAAACTGTCAGTTTTTCTTGGAACTAACCATATAACGTTTATGCTTATAAGAACCATTGCCACAACAGTTGATTACAAGTCTTACTAAGTTGAAAGTCATAGATCAGTCTAGCAATGAAGGTTTAGGTTCTTAGAGAATCTGGAAAATTTGCTGTTAGCTCCACCTTAATGAACTTTAAACTACTTGTCTTGGGGCTTGATTCTCATTGAACTTGATTCTCTCTTTCAACACTGACAAGTATGTTTAGATGCAGTCTCTCTTTGATCTTCCCTGATATAGCTTTAAGAGTTTAAGTCCATACAATGGTGCATTCATGACCCTGTCTCCTAACAAGGAACAATAGTAATGAACACATTCAAGAACCTGTCTCCTCACAAGGAACACAAGTATTGAGTAGCACCATATCTTAGACTGTTGAAAAATGAAAAAAGAGTTGAAAATCGAAAATATCAGAAAGAAAAGATCAAGGGAAGAGAAAATAGAAGAGTTATGTTGAGATTACTTTGTTTAGTTGTTTAGGAAGGGAAAAGAATCTGTAAGTGATTGAGATGATAAAACATTGATGAGATATCACACTTAGATAAAAATAAGGAGTTAGCAGCAGAGATTTTGGATTTCTTAAAGGAGCTTGAACTGGTTTTGAGGGATTTGCTATGCTTGTGATAATTAGACTGAAATTTAATCTTGTGTTGACTTTGTAGTATGTGGATTCGAAAGTGTTGACTAATGTGATGTTCCTGATCTTTAGCTGACTGTTTCTTGTTTTCAAATCTCGATCCTATTATTTGTCTGATGTTTGCTTGAGGGCAAGCAAAAGCCAAGTCTGGGGGAGTTGCTATATCATGGTTTTATAGTTTTTAACCATGGTATAAGTCCTTTTTATGAGTCTTTTGGTCTTTTTAGAGTCCTAGTAGAGTCTTTGCAGGTTATAGCATATCTGGAGGACAATTGGAGATTATCGAGCTTTTTGGAGCATTGCAAGATATAACCACGAAGTGTGCAACTCGAAAGGCGAATACAGAGCTGGGTGACGCTCGTCACCACTCAAGGGTGACGCTCGTCACCCGTAGCGGAAGGAGTCGCGATGGTTTCTTAAAAGATAGAGGATTATTTGCAGAATCAGCCTATAAGTTTTCAGTATTTGCAAGAATGCCCCAGCTCGTGTTTTAGGTTGTATATATTAGGTTTTCAGCCATTGTTGGGTATTATCATAGACTTTAGAATTCAGAGAGCTTTAAAGAGGATTTTATTGACAGCTTTTGGGGAGACAAATCATGTACTCTTTTTGGAGAAGATTTCGAACCCCTTTATCTTTTATTCTATTCTTTCAATGTAATTTTATTCAGCTATGCTTTGTGATTCCATGATCATATATGGGTAATTTGCTAGTTAAGTTAGGACTTTTCAAGGGTTTATGATGAGTTTGTAGAAATCGCTACATGTTAGAAATATCTTTTGGTTCTTCATATGTGCTTGCTTTAAAATCGATTTTCTTAGACACATCATCTGGAATTTCGAAACCTAGGTTTTTTAATAGATGTGAGAGCATTATTGATAACCTGATTTAGCATTAGATGAGCAAAACAACTTGTGCAAAGAGATTTGGCTTAGGAGTTTTGGGAACAATTGAACTTGATCATTACTGCATGTTTAGATTGTTAGAGTTTGCAAAGAGATTTGAAACTCTGTGATTTAGACATAGTTAACTTTGGCAATGAGAATTGATTAGTTATATATTTGCGATTCATGTTCAAAACGATTCTTATTCATTCCCTATTTCATGCATTCTACATTCTCGGTTTCAACATGCGAATTGACCTGACTTAGCGCTTTTAGTTTTCTGAATCTTATATCAACCAATATCGATTGCTTTCATAAGTCGTAGTTACTTCGCATTACATTCATTATTTACTAATTAGCTTAATCTGAATCTACAAATCGTTAGTGTAATCCCTTGGGATTCGATAACCCTATATACTACAACTGCTTTGCTGTGCACTTGAGTAGTAAATTATTTGGGTAAAACCTGAGCCCTGTCAAAATGCAAACTACAACCTAAGTACAACCTAAATCTAAAACCAAAAGAAAATGGGACAAAAGCAAAAAAAAACATGTAAGAGAAGACTAAAATATGAACTAAATGCAAGCTTATATGATGCAATTATGAGAGATATCAGTTAGTCAAAACAACATATTTCTATTGAAATATACACTCAGTCTCGGCCATGGATCAGATTGATAAATACTGCACATTATGAAAGATCAAAAAAATCTTCATGGAGATAACAGACTTATCATTTAAGTTTCCACTTATGAAATGTCCCTAATCGAGACTCGAAAAATAAACTGCCTAGATAGATTTATAGAATGGCAAGCAAACCCATTTTCTCCATAACGAGAGTTGGGCAACACTTATTTAGAATCTAATGGAGGGAATGAAAAAATTAGAACACATCTTATTAGACGTAACTTAATTATGGCAACCTGAATGATTAAACCTCAATTTTTATTACGGATAAGTTATTGATAATGATTTTTCAAAACAAACTGGAGTAAAACAAGAGAGGATGAACAATAACAAAAGAAAACCAAAATAAACTGAGAAACTGATAAAGGAATCAGAGGCTAGAACTACAAATTGAAGTAACCCGTAAAAAACAAAATCCAAACACAGAGAGAAAGAACAGTTATTGACGATGACGCTTCTTAGATACGAACCACACACCATGCTCATAATCACTATCACCAAGTTGTTCAACAAAGATACCGTTTCACTGCCATAACAGATCAATTCTCTCAGTAATCCCATCTAAACCCCTGACAGACACAAACCAAACAATGAATATATATATATATATGAAAAGTACAACCAACATCAGAGCCGACGCCAACCAGAGAAAATATAATCGAAAATATATATATATATATATTTATTTATTTTTCCACAAACAAATGATTTCCATTAATTTAAAGAGTTATTACAAAGACAGGACACAAAAACACTGGATTACAAATTTTACACTGAGAAAAATACAGCCAAAAGGAGATTGACGATGCTTTCCAAAGAGTAGTCTTACACGCTAACCGATAAGAAAATCTGTTATTGCCCAACTTCATATTTGATCTTTCTCTGAAGCGATTTGTACGCAACATCACATGGCTGCATTTTCTTCTTACAAATCGCATCTGGAAACTTAATGTATCCAAAATATAATTCTGAAAAGTAGATTCACTGGTATCAATACTTTCATACCAAGATTTATTAAAATACTTTGTCTCTGTATCAAAAGCAGATTGTTAGAATTTGAATTGGTTACTCCTGGATCCCAAATTTGTGTCTGAAACCCCTTTATGAAAAGGAAGAGATTCATATAGACACAAACCGTTTCAAAAATGAAAAAATGGAAACCAATCGGGTGAATCCCAAATGGAGAGAAACCAACACAAAATTTTTACACTATTGCAAGATTATGGTTGGAAATAAACTCTTTTGAAAGGAGAGAAAGAAAATGGGATTTCAAAATTGAAAAATCATAAACTTTATTTTATTTGAAAAATAAATTAGATACAAACAAACAGAAGAAAAATGAAAGCAATATTAATGTCAATGATATATGAATTTTTACAATATTAATTTTTCCTTTAATAACATTATTGTTTTTAATGTATTTAAATAGTTTACTCCATTATTCATGAAAATCTATAAGAATATAGAGAAACCATATATTTTAATTTGATAATTTATTACATATATATATATATATATTATTTTAACAATTTTTAGAGAAAAAAATAAAAGAAGAATTTATAATGGTTTATGTTAGTTTATAAAGTGACATATGTCAATTTATAAAGTGATATGTGTCAATATATCAAAACTATTTTTATAATTAAAAAAATTAAACTATTATATAAAATTTTATACTTTTGATAAGATCTATAAAATAATAAAATTAATAATTATTTTCCAATAATAATACAAAATGATATAAGAATGTAAATGATATATAAGTTTTTAAAACATTAGTATTTTCTTTAATGATGTTATTGTATTAATGTATTTAAATGATTTACTCTTTTTTGTAAAAATCTGTGGAAATTGTATAATGAGAATATAGAGAAACCATATACTTCAAATTTTATTTATTTATTTACATATATTATTTATATAAATTTATAGAAAAATAATAAAACAAGAAGGATTGTTCCCCATTTTTTTCCATTTTTGTTCTTAGCAGATAATATATACTATTTTTATCCAAAAAAAATGAATTTTTAGATTCTATAAAAAGGCAAAGGTTGTGTCTTTGGTACATCACATCCCAAAGCATTAACATAGCTCTCTTCTCTCTTACTCCATTACCCTCTTTGGTGCTCTGTTTCTTAACTTGAATATGGAAGGAGCTGTTGAAATCATGTTGGGAAATGGATTACCAGAGATTCACAAAGACACGACCAGGACTGTCCACTCCAACCAGCAGGACTGGTACGAAGAAACCATCGATGATGATCTCAAGTGGTCTTTTGCCCTCAACAGGTTTTCTTCTTTCTTTTGTCTGAACTTCATTTTCCATTAATAATAATTTTGCCCATTTTATAAAATAGTTTATTTCCTTTTTATTTTTTCGACAGTGTTCTCCATCAAGGAACTAGTAAGTACCAAGACATTGCTCTGTTGGACACCAAACGGTTTGGAAAGGTACAAATTTTTCTTCAAACGGTTCTTATAAAACATTACATGTTCAAAAGTTTTATAACTTTGATTAACTACAAATTTCTTAGAGTAAAAATATATATGGTACTGGAGACTGATTAGTAAGAAATATTGGTATCTAAAACAGGTACTTGTGATTGATGGGAAAATGCAAAGTGCAGAGAGAGATGAATTTATCTACCATGAATGTTTGATCCACCCGGCCCTCCTTTTCCACCCAAAGTACGCATTTATTTTGTTTTCAGTTACATTTTTCGTATATTTGACATTTTCTAATATGCAGTCAATTAGTTTATAGGGTGGATTTACTATATAAAACTAAACTGGGATAGACATTTCAAAAAATTAAAGTAGCCAAGTAGGGAATAATTTGCAGAAAAGAAAGTGGTGCAACGTTTTTATCCTGATTCATGTCTAATATCTGAGAATAGCGTGTCATCATATATAAGATGAAATATTTTTCGCAAAATCCATGCTCCTTTGAAACATCATGTGCAAAAAAAGAATAACATTATTTTAAAAAATGTCATTAGACTATAGAAAACCCAAACCCTGGTCATTTGGTGGTAATTTTTTAGTTTATATTTGTATAATGCACGACACGTAAAATAGCTTATAATAAATTTTGTACTAAACTACCACTAGCAATTCTATCTGCTTGCTTCTTATACATGCACATTTTAAATTATAGAAAATAGTTTTGAACTGTACGAGGAATTTTTGTTATTTACTTTAACCATTTCTCTACGATTAGCCCGAAAACGGTGTTTATAATGGGAGGTGGAGAAGGCTCTGCTGCAAGAGAAATACTAAAACATAAGACCATCGACAAAGTGGTCATGTGTGATATTGATCAGGTTTAGCCTCTTATTTCTAGATCTATTATCAAAAACTTATTACCGGAAATATACAATCATTCTATATAAACAGGTGCTAATTTTTCAGGAAGTTGTTAACTTTTGCAAGAAATTTCTAACCGTTAACAGCGAAGCTTTTTGTAACAAGAAGCTTGAACTTGTGATCAAAGATGCAAAGTAAGGAGACAAAAGCACATAAATATATCAAAAGAATTTTGTTTTTAACAGAATCAAAAGAAGTTATATATGACTTATCATATCTTTCTTATCATAATTTAATTGTCAAATTGTTAATCGAAAAGGGCTGAATTAGAGAAACGAGAAGAGAAGTTTGATGTAATAGTGGGAGATTTAGCGGATCCAGTAGAAGGTGGACCATGTTATCAGCTCTACACCAAATCTTTTTATCAATACATCCTCAAACCAAAGCTCAGCCCCATTGGAATATTTGTGACTCAGGTCTTTCATAATTTTTTATTTCTTAACATTATCTTAGCAAAAAACAAAAGAATCTTTTTAATAATACTTTTTGATATTCTTAACAAAAAATAGGCTGGACCAGCCGGGATATTTACACACAAGGAGGTCTTCACATCAATTTACAACACCTTGAAGCAAGTCTTCAAATGTAAGCCTCTTTTGTGTTTTCTTGTAGACATTTTTGTGGTCATTTTTTATGACTAAAAAGCAAAAAATGAAAAAACAGACGTGAAGGCTTACACAGCACACGTACCATCATTTGCTGACACGTGGGGATGGGTAATGGCATCAGACCAAGACTTTAAGTCTGAAGTTAAGGAAATGGATCGAAGAATCCAAGAGAGAGTGAAAGGAGAATTGATGTATTTGGATTCTCCTTCCTTCTTCTCTGCTGCTACCCTCAACAAGACCGTCTCTCTTGCGTAAATTCAGTTTTCTCTTTCTTTTAAAGCTTTGATTGGTAACGTCATAAATTATATTTTTAACATCCGATTTTGTTAATTTAGTTATTTACAAAATTAAAATTAAATTGGACAGACTAGAGAAGGAGACAGAAGTTTATAGTGAAGAGAATGCGAGATATATTCATGGTCAGGGTGTGGCGTACCGGGAATAATTGAAAAAAGAACCCGATTTATTTTAGATTAAGAAACCAGTTTTCTTTTCTCCGCATATAATCAAATGTTGTCCTAAATAAGTTTGGGTGGGTTTTATTTAATACACTAGGTATGACTTGCGTATACACCCGAGTTTATAATATACTTTTAAATTTATAATTAATAAAATATTTTATTTTAAATATAATGATTTTTTATAATTGTTAACTATGGTAATATATATATACTGTTTAAAATAATTTATATTTTCTTCATTTATACTTATAAATATTTTTTTATTTTTATTTTAAAATTTATCATACTAAATATTTTTTTTGAAATAGTTTTCTTCAATTTATAAAAAAAGAGATTTTTTCATCTTTTTAAACACTCCAAATTTGCTTTAAACTGCACTTAAGATTTATGATCACTCTATATTATCATGTGTGTATCTTCTAACAAATTTTAGTGTTAATTTTATATTTATTAGTAATGAGAATTAAAAAATTTGATGAAAAACTATTATATATTAAATGGAAGTTGATAATAATTTGTTACACTCGTCTGTTATATAATGACCTATTCTTGAAAAATTGTGTTTGTCGAAATTAACCTATGTATATCATCAAAAATTATGTTTATCGAAATTTATATCCCATTGTGACTTTCCGTATATGAATACACTTATAAAAATTAAATTAAATTATTATTATATTCTTTTCCTTGAGTTTTTTGTTGATTTTTTTAATATGAAGAATTAAATATATAAGGGTTGACGAAGTATTTTTCCTTCATAACTATCATATAGTATAGGTACAGTTGTTTCTTTTATAGTTTTTTTTTGTATATGTATATTTTCTAAACAAATAATTTTTGATGGTTTAAAGTGTGTATTTAGATTTAATTTCATATTTAATATTTAACTTTATATGTCATAAATCGATAATAGTTGTTAACTGAATTTTTTTCTTATAAAAAGTATTTACCATTATATTTATACAATGATATCTTTATTTTACAACTTTCTTAATTATTTTGTATCACAATTTTCTAAAGATTGATTTTTTTAAAAACTTTGTAGTTTTTTTTTATTTGCTTCAACCTACATCACCCAATTATATACATATATATATATTTATTCATTACTTGGAGATTGTTTCTAATTTCATTGCCTTTCTTTAATCTTTGGAAATTTGAAAAAAAAATGTTTAATATTTTCAATACACTTCATAACCACATACATCAAACCTTTTTTTATAAGTATCAATCTATATTGAAATTCAATGTCTACATTCGGAATTTTTTCTTAATAGATGTTTGATAAGTTTAAATGTTTTATTTTAAGTATTTATCTAATTTTTAAAGTGAAATTAGTATAACTAAATCTATTACTAAAGTAAATTAATAAGTAATGAAACCACAACATATAGACTTTAAATTTGTTGAGTTTTAACATTAAACAAAACTCTATTTAAGACTGGATTTTATATGTAAAACATATATGAAAATAATTTGTTTTTTTATTGAAAATGTAGAAATGAAGTTTAAAATAATTTAATGTATTTTAGAAAAAAAATTTTTTATTGTACTTCTTATTAGAAAGACTAAAAAGAGTTATGTTTGTTGCTAAAAAGTCTGTCATGTTCATGAGCAACCCCATAAAAATCTATCACGTATATATGACAGATTCTTTAATTAAGTAAATGTTCTACATATACGCAAGTTTGTAATTATACTTTCGATTGGGCAGGCAAAGAATCAGGGGCCAGAGATTCATAAATTCAAAGGAAGATGAGAATTATGGGATATCTTTTAATTTTATCATGTAATCATTTATTAATCATCATCATTAATTAATCATTGATTGTACAAAAAAGATTGCAAGTGTAGGATGTGTAGAAAAGTGACGTTTACAATAAACGCAGATCCATCAGAGCCTCTTTTTTGGAAGTGTCTTAAACCAACCATAGTTGCTAGCTCCACCAACACATGATTCTCTGCTCACTTTATCTGCCTGAGATTATCAGTCTCATGTTTTTTGAAAAATAAATATACAAATTGACTAAACATTGTTTCCTTCAGAAAGCCTCTCACTGCACTGATAGTTAATATGAATCTATAAGATCTCTTGCTTAATTCTTGCTATCTACCTTCAACAACTGTTTTCAGCTCTAATTAACACTTCAAATTTTTCTTATAGAATTTTATCAAGAAGCCACTGACCTTCCGTACTTATTGGCACTGCCACAGTGAGAGCTCTGATGTCATGCGTATGAGCCCTTACACAACCGATAAAATCCCACTTCTGAGTGGAAGAAGCTTTCAATCTCGTGAATTAAATGTACCATCAACGAGCTTATATACAATAACCTACAAAAGTATGAACAAAGAATCAGACAGTTAACACCGTTACAGCCGAAACCTTATAATTAGCCAAAGCATTTTTGTTTCTACTTTATTCAAGTCCCATGTCTCGTCAAAGGAAACCAGTCTTCATTATACATCAATTTTCAACTGAGATTCACATGAGAGAACAACACAACAGTAACATCATTTACCTGTCCATCGGCACCAGCAGAAAACACACGGTTATGTCTTGGGGCTGCCGCAAGTGCATTGACATCACCCCTGTGATTAGAATGCGGCTGCAAAAGGGCTCCATGCTTGCTATCCCAAAACTGGACACTTCATGTACTATCTCCACTGACAAGAACTCCACAGCTAAATAATAGAAGACGCAGATCATCACATCAGCAATAGGAAACGAAAGACACAAAACTAACATAAGAGCACGGATAACTATTTACCTCAATGAAAAAAGTGACCAAATGCAGAGCTCAGAACCATTTCCAAGTCCTCCAAGTCCAACTGTAATTCTATATACCTTATGGCTGAGATTAGCATCCCAGCATCTTATCAGCCTACAAACAATTGTTAAAAAAATTTACTTAGACAAATCGAAGAAACACTCAGGGGTCTTCTTTCCAACCAAGTATGCAAATGTTACGAAATAAGAAATTACGCATCTCATATAGGAAGTAAAATTAGATATCCTTACCCATCACTGCTGCCCGAAAAGATTCTATGTGCGTCCAAACTCCACGTCACACTTAAAACACAGCCTATGAAAATATTGTTCCATTAAGCTCTATGCAGATACAATAATGAAGGATCAAAATGATGCTAAGAGGGAGTAAAGATGTCTCATCACTGACCCTAGGCAAAGATCTATAGTACGTCAAATCGTCTGATTCGGAGATATAATATATCCTCACGCAGCCATCATCACAGGCAGCTGCAAGATGCCTATCCCAGGCCTTCGATTTCTCCTCAAGTTCGTCCAACTCTAAACCATCTACCATTCCACTTTCTTCCTCGTCATCTGATTTCTCACTCAAGTCTCCATTCTGAATCACCTCAGCTTTTCTACTTTCTGCTTCAGTGGAGAAGAAAGGTGCTAGAGCCATTTGCCAGATTGATACTCCAATCGACTCTAGGACGACCTGGAAAAATCGATTGATAAGAGAAATAATACTTTATAAGAAGAAGCTAGAATTTTTTTTAATTAAGTGATTTTCACCTTCTGTTTCAGGTTGAAAAGATCCCACTCTGAATTTGTGCCATCGATGCTCGAAGAAAACCACCTAGAGGACCCTTAAGTGCCAGCAACAAGCCAGACAAGGCACGAAATTCTCGATTTTGGATCTCCATGGATAATCTATAAACTCAATTGAGAAAGATAAACAAAGGTAAGTCAAAAACAAAACAAAAATCAACTGGAGATAGTTCAAGAATCTTATCGAATCGAAAATGTGGTAATCGGAAGAGAAGAATAAGAGCACGTACGAGTTGACAGTGCCAGGAGACAGCCCCGGCAGAGACGAGCCAGACCTCAAGAGAACCGTCTTCGCGAGCTGCGGCGACCTGAGAGCCGTCGGGGCTGGTAGAAAGGGCTACAACTGGAGATGGCTTCCAATCAATGCAGCTGCAATGGTACTCAAACATGGTGGCGACGGAGGAGGCGCAATATACACGGAAATATATGGTTGATTGAATTGGGGGAGAAGACGCTTCGATAGAAACCAATTTTTGTTTGACTGCAATAATTTCATGAAACTTTTTTATTTTATTTTATTTTTTTATTTTTTTTGCTGATATATCATGGAAAAGAGTACTGACGTTTCAGGTTCTAGTAAGACACAACTCAACTTTTATATAATAGATTTCTTGCGCTTTTGCTCCGTCGCCCTAAAGCTATTCCAGTGTAGTTTGATAAACAAAACTATGCATAGTATGATTATTACTATTGTTATTACTAAAAAGTAATATGTGCGTTACCGTGGATCATTTGCATTTATTATTTAAATTGCAGCGTTATTTTGTTTCAAAAATGAATAACAGCATCTCTAATGGAATTTCATTTTTAAACTTCATTTTTAGAGTAAAACTTTCTCCAACGGTATTCTATATTTTTTAAAGTAAAACTTATTTATTTAAAAAACAATTTTTTAAATTTTAATATGTTTTTATTTTGTATTTAAACAAAATTATAACACTTAAACATAATTATATAATTAATTAAAAATATAAATGCAATATTAAAACATATGAAATTGAAAAATAATATGTTAAATTAAAAATACATTATTAATATTAAAATAATAAATATAAAAAAACTTAACACATAATTAATTCTAGTGATCTAATATTCTGAAAATTGGCTTCCAAATTTTAGAAGGTCACTGAAAAATTGTTTAAATAAACTAGATGCAAAAAAGAACTTGTTGATCATTTTTTTTTTTTAAGATTCAAGTTTGTTCAATTTAAACATACACACAAATACTTGGATCTAGTATGGAATTTAAGTTTTGAAGTAAAACTTTGTTTTCTACTTTAAATTTCAGAATTGTGTTGTTTTTGTGCGTTTGTCTTCTTTAACTGTTCTGGAAACTGTTTAATTCATTTTTCTATGACTTTGATAATATCCGATCTTTCATCATCAATTTTTCTTTTATCACTTAAGTTCAAAAAAAACAAAGACAAGCCTAAAGATGTTTGTGTAGCGGAATCAGGCGTAAAATTTTCCGATTCTGAAGATGTAAAGCCCAACCTGCATGGATTTGATACTTTTTGGCAGAAATGGCACCATCTTTAAACTTTTCAAAATTCTTAA